AATATCTTACCAAATTCTCTAAAATAAAAATATTACAAATCAAATCTTATGAGGTGAATGCTATTTTCCAAATGTGCTTCTCGCCATAAATACATATGAATTTGTCTATATAAATCCCTAACTTATTTAATATAGATGTTAGTTTAGAATTATGATAAACTTTAACTTTGAGAGTCAGAAATTTGAAATTTTATGCTTGCAAAAAACCCTTATCAACAACTAGCAAAAAGGGTTGAATGATGGATTCATTTAGCTAAAATAATTTGACCAAATAATGTTTCCATGTGAACAACTAAAAACTTAGAATTATAATTAAAAATCATGCATAGTTCCTCATTTTTACCATATTGTATATCCTAATAAAGAAGCAGCTAATGGCATTGAGAATTAATCAATGGTCTCAATTTTCGAAGAAAGAGAAAGAGTTTTGAAATATTAATATGAAGGGTTCGGAAGACATCTTCAGAATATTTGTTCGGAACAATTTGTTGAAAGACCAATGAATTTTGGTGAATGGAGCTTAAATGAAAGGGAAACTTTCAAAAGATACTTTCTAATTTTTGGTTACGGTAGATGGTAGTTAATTAGAGACTCTTCAAAAAATTCTGGCTTTAATTTGGAGGATAAGGCTGATGAAGAAATGATACTCTATGCGAATTCCTTCATTCAAACAATTATAAGTTAATTGAAAGCTCAAGAGACTAAAGAGGTGCAGTAATTCTTAATTAATCTGGTAGAAACCAATTAATATGATGCTGTTATAGACTCGAATCTCTAAATGTGGGGTGGTGAGTCATTTGCTCAGAGAGCTATTCAATGGGGTAAAAGAATTTAGCTGTTATTCGTTGTCAATAGATTAACTAAAATATATAAACAAAAAAGAAAAGCTTATTTATCATAGGATTAGAATGACAGAATAGATTAAAAACTCTACAAGAATTATCAGAATAAGGATAATTTACTTAACTTTATTTCTAATGATTAGCTAATTGGAATGAGACCAGCCACTTGGTGGTCTAGAAAGCATGATATAGATCTTGTACTAGGAACATACAAATGGGGTTATGGTAACTATCAAATGATGAGGGAGGATCCTAAATTGAGTTACTGTAAGATAAATAGAAATGACACTAACTACATGTTCCCTATGGCTGAAAACATCACAAAGAGACTTAAAAAACTTGTCCAACTTGTTAGTAGGATAGAAGGGGAATTTGATTTTGAAGGTTAAACTAAGCCAAGTGAGCATTCAGGTTTTAGCTTTGAGGAGAAAAATGGGATAATTGAAATATTAGGAGATTATGGAATACCTATTTCTCATGATGAAAATAAAAAAAGTGATTGGTAATTATTAAGAAATAGAGTTTCTCATTATCTTAATAAGATAATGACCTAGCCAGATCATAAACTCGAAAAGTTTATAACATTTATTTAACTCGAATGTCAAAAATTAATACAAGAATATCACAGTGCAATATCTAGACTAGGCTAAGTCAAGAAAGATGAAAAGTAAGATGATAATGAATTTAAAATTCCAAAGACCAAGAACTTAAGGCTTGATCAAATTGATATGGAATTATTCTTTAAGTCAGATGATGAAGATGATTTCAAAGTGAATATAGAATAGGCAATGAGAATTTAGACAAGAATTTCTATGAGCAGAGAAAATTAGCTATTTGAAGCATGTATTGATGAGCTTCAAGATTAGATCTAGACAGATAGAGATAATGATGATTGCTACTTGCCAGAATAATGGGTTGTTGGCATTCACGATAGAGGTCTATTGAATGCCGTTGCTGAAAACGGTGTGAATTTTCTTAAATCAGTCAAGCATGTCCATGAATATGGCCTTTATGCTTGTAATATTAACTCTAAGAAGCTAGTCAAAAGAGTTGAGTATTTATGCGGATTTTTCAAGAACTTACCAAATAGAAAAACAGATTAGCCTAAGGACAGATAAATAGCATTGAAAGCAAGTATGCTAAATATCACTCAGAGACCTACTCAGAAAGTTAAAATCAACATAGATACTGATAAAAATGGGGACATATTATATCCTATCATAATTACTCAGAGCTTGAAGATCCTTGATCTTGGGTATATTGAATGGGAGAGGCCAGATTATCATTCTCATAGAAATATATTTCCAATTGGATTTAAAACGATTAGAACTCATTAGAGTTTATACTCTGTTGGTGGTAGAGCTGATTATATATGTGAAATCTTAGATGGAGGTGATAGACCATTATTTAAAGTTATTCCAATGGAGGAATAAGATAAACCACTAGTTAGAGAAAGTGCATCAGGTTGCTGGCTAGAAATAGTCAAAAGAATTGAGAGTCTAACCAACATAAGAAAAGGTAAAGTAACAGTAAGTGGGCCAGACAGATTTGGATTGTAAGAAGCAGGAGTTATGTAGCTAATCTAGTAGCTACCAAATGCTAATAAATGCCAAAAATATAATTTCAGATGAAGACTTAATTATGAATTCAAATCTTTAAAATTGAAAATAATATCATTATCTTAATTTTAATTAGTGTTAAATCTAAATTTGAAACTCACTCAATAAATAAACTTGTATTTAACACACTTGTCTGCATTAGCAAGGCATTAAAGAAGCTAGTTGACACCTGGCTCTGCCAATCCATATCTGTCAGGTCCACTCACTGTGACATTAGTTCTCTTGTTACCTTAGATTTCATTTATCTTTTTGCAAATATCTATCCAAACTCCTGATGATGAATCTCTAATCAAAGGATTCTATGGATCCTCAGAGCATGTAACCTTGAATAATGGTTTTGGGCCTCCGTCCAAGATTTCACATATGTACTGACATCTTTCTCCAGGTCTCACCATTGAAGTGTAATCTCTTAAACTCTTAAATCCGATTGGGAAGAAGTTTTTTTCAGAATGATAAAATGGTTTCTCAAATTCAATTATACCCAAATTTAGAATTTGCAATGTAGGAGATACAATAATAGGATATTTTATATTTCCATATTCATCTCTTTCGACTTCAATTTTAGTAAACTTCTTTCTCGGATCAATTTAAGTTTGCCCTGTGGAAAGATCTGCTCCTCTTAATGAAGGATTATTTTTCCTCAACTTAAGTAATTACTCTTTAAAGAAAAGGCAAAGATATTCTAGTCTTTTTTGTAATCTCTTTCTAGGCACATTAATGTTCTCAAAGCCATAATCGGTATTTTCTTTCATTTTATTCAAGAATGGCAGGCCTTAATCACTCACAGCTTTAAGCAAATGTCTATCGTGCTTGTCGCAAATCCATTCATCTGGCAGCTTTGTGAGCTGTTTCTCCTTTTCATCTCTTAATATCTGTGCTAAATTTTCTAGACATTATTCATACAATCTAAAATTCTAGGCCATTATCTCTTTTCTAATCAGTTTAAACATATTAGTACGCACCTTAAAATACAGAGCCCTTTCATATCCAAAGTTAAATCCATCACCATCTGGGTCATATACTAATCTCTGACAGGTCTTTTCATATTCATGTGCAGCCTTTATTCTTTACTTATCAATTTTGAAATCATTTACTTCTTCCTCTTTCTTAGGAATAACTTCCCCATTTTCTCCTTTTTGCTCTTCTTTTTCACTACTCTCCTCGCCACTTTAATCTTCTTCTTTCCACTAAGCAAGTATTTCAGCAACTGGCTTTTAATAATCTTTCATAATTTTGGTCGACATGATATTCAGCTGTTGAATAAACTTCTCAAGAGGCTTGACAGAATCTGGCCCCAAATTAACATCAGCATCTATTCCCTTGACATGTTTAACCAATAATACCTTCAATAACTCGTAATCGTCTTTTGGATCATCATTCGATATCACAGGCACACCATAGTTTATTAAAATCTCATAAAGAGTATTCTTCTCTAGAAGACTGAATCCAGAGGCTTCCTTTACATGATCTGTTCTTTCAAAATCATACTTATTATGATTGCTTTTCAAGAACAGAAGAACTTGTTTCATCACGTATTTTATCCTCTTTGTCATCATATTCGACTTAAACTTGCCTTGAGATGTATCCTCAAAGATTAATGTTTTGCTTTTCAATATTGCTTCATAATTAGCATATCCGTAATCAAAACTACCCATTATCAAATCAACATCATGCCTTCTAGTCCAAACTAAAGCAGGTCTAGCAGGAGATAATTACTCTTGACTAAGAAAATTCAATAGGTTAATATTAGTCTTATAAAGCTTCTAGAGTCTTTGGTCTTGATTAAAATGAGGCAAAGATTGAAACTTAGCTTGCTAATTTTTGTATCTTCTAACTAAATCAACTATATTGTTGATGAGAACGAGTCTCTTGCCCCAGTTTTTAGCCATTTGACTAAAGCTATCTCCGAAATCACTGGCTGAAGCATCAACCTTAACATCCTATTCTTTGACTTAAACCATGCTGAGTAATTTCTTGATTAGCTCTTTATTGTCATTGTCGTGACTAAGACAGTCAACTATAAGTGAAATGAAGTAATTTGCATAAGCCCTAATTTCATTATGATCTTTTTTAAATATCAATTTGTCACTATGCTTTGAGATCGACCTCATCTTTGACCATCTATCATAGCCAAACATCAAAATTATCCTTTTTAGTGATCTCTTTTCTTCCTTCGTCCAGGGGTGATGCTAAATCCAGTTTTTGGGGTCTCTTATCTCATTTATCTCTAAATTAATGACTTGAGATATTAAATTTACTTTAAGAATGACTAAGATCCTTCTTTTTCCCAAGTATAGGCTGGTAAACCTTTTCTTTTGGATAAGGGAATTTTTCTTGCTTATTTTTATTAAGCTCTGATATAATCAAATGAAACAGATGCGGGATAGAGCAATTAGAATCACATAAGAACTAAATCTTATCATTCTATTTAATCTCAACCACATCCTCAGATAGTACATATTTATCATTAATCTTAAGTTTCTCAAATGCTTATAACTCAAATGATTATTTTACTTGTCTAATAACACAGATTGCTTTCTTCCTATAATATAATTATTTATAACAATCTAAGCCTACACTGTAGAGCATTTAGTGAATGCCTGTCTGTATTTAATCATTTCTTCCTCGATTATTTTTTTTATACCAGATCCTAGTTTTTAGATAAAATTTTGGTCAATTAAGGCAAGCAAGCCATATCCATGCTAGCCATCATCATTGACCTAATTTTCAGTCCATTTGATTTCATTTTCACTGCCAACTATAATCGGAAACTATATTATGATATTATTATCAAGTGATTATTTACCTTTTGTAAATAGAATGAACAGTCGTTGATCGCAGAGAATTTAATCTATAACTCAGTCATTATATAGCTATTAGGAACAATTCTCAATTAATTTATTTATGT